ATTACTTTTTTAAAAGTAATCTAAAAAGTTATACTACAATTACATTTGAAACAAAGTAACTTGTAACTTTAACGGATTACATTTTTAAAGTAACTTACCCAACAGTGGGTGTGTGTGTGTGGGTGTGTGTGTGTGCGTGTATGTAGGGCTAAGTATTAACTACCTTTTGACTGTGGGGACTTACAGGTACTTGTGGGAACTGGTGGCTTACTGTTCCACATGTGGAAAGATTTTCTTGGGTTTGGGGGTTAGGTTTAGCACTTAGGTGTAAAATATGTTATTTGTTAGAAACAGTTAGAGTGAGGGTCTGGGTTAGGCCGTAGAAATTGATGGTAATGGAATTGAAGTCGATGCAAAGATCCTGTAATGATAATTGGTACATGTTCAATTCAGTTTATGTATATAGCGCCAATTCACAACACATGTCATCTCAAGACACTTTACAGTTCACCAGATGATGCAGTCAAATTAAGTTTTCTATCTAAGGAAAACCAGTTGATTGCATTGACTCACTGACTTGAAGGCAATCCCTCACACTTAGAATGCTTGTAGTGACAGTGGAGAGAAAAAACTCCCTTTTAACAGGATTCTGTTGAAAAGATCTGTATCAAAAGTGTTTTCTTACATTCCTCATTCAGTACCAGATATTTCCCAAGATAGGTTGTATATATTAACTTGATGTGTCGCTTAAAGTTTGAAGTGGCAATGGCTGAGGTAAAAGGACTTGTCCCGATGGGCAGAGTTTGCACAAGAAGTGTTTCTTGTTTTGTACATTTACATGTCAAATGTCTGCCTTCCTTCATTAGTTCATAAAACTCTGCAAAGCGTTCTGCAAAACTAGCCTCAGAAGTACCACTAGATTAGCCCGAATCGCACAGACTAGTACTAGCAGTAGACATGCTGGTCTGTCATGCTGTTTGTTGTAATAAGTGCCATAGAACCGGATGTTATCGAATGAAAAGTGCTGTTATCAACTGAACATTAGCTGTGTGTGTCGCTCATTATTCTCAGAGAGAAGGTTTCTCTCATTCACCTTTAGTACTTCAAAGCTGATCTGTTCAGTTCACTGTTCACTAAAAATATGAACGTATTCAGTGAACGCTGTTCATTGAACGCCTTCATGCACTGGTCTCAGAGGTCTGTTTACATTGCAGCTAGCATCATGAAGAGCAAGGATCACACCAGGCAGGTTCAAGATACTGTCATGGAGAAGTTTAAAGCTGTATTTGTATACAAAAAGATTTCCCAAGCTTTAAACATCCCAAGGAGCACTGTGCAATCGGTAGTATTGAAACTAGTACTACTAGTACTGACACTTTGGGTTGCCATAACAGCAAAACACACACATAAGGCGTAACTAGTGAAACTTTCCCTGGCCTATTATCTCTTTTTGTCAATGTGTGTTATTATCCTCATTTTATCTTTCAACAAACAGGAGCCTCAGTTGG